TCGACTACCAATTTGTAGTCGATTTTTGGCCAATTTCTGGCTGATTTGTGGTCGAATTTCACCTTTTCGGCCAGTGTAAAAATGAAATATGAAAGGATTAAAATTCATTAAGCAAAGAAAACAAAATGTTATCGTAGGATGATCGTTAAATTATTTACGTTAATAATGATTTGTTTAATTACACCGACATCACCAATAAACATAGATTGTTGTAATGGTATTCTATATTCAAATTCAAACGTTATATCTTCAGTTTCAAATAGGAGCTCCATTCCTAGTGTAGCATTATTAAAGAAAAGGATGAATTTATTTTGAAATTTTTAAGAAAAAAATAAAAATGTAATTTATACCATCAGTAATTTGTTCAGTTGCTTTATATAAATCAAAAGGTATAGTTTCATGGACAATTCCTTTCATTACATCTATTTCCGTTAATCAAAGATTAAATATTATAAAGTGAATAATAGATATTTAAATTGTGAATTGCTTACTTAGGTCATCCTTAAATTTAAAAAAAAATAAATATAAGAAAAGATTTTAAATAAATAGAATAGATACAGTACATTCAGATAATAATGTTAAACTAACAGATTTGGCGACACGTAAAATATGATCAGCCATATGAATGACATTAATACCAGAATTTTGGATAGCAGATATTAAAGCTCGTTGGGCAGAAGTTAGAGAAGAAGAGAGAAAAATTTCCGTGCTAGCCAAAATTCCGTGAACGGGAGTTCTCAATTCTTCAAAATGATAAAGATGAGGGCATGATATAAATGTAGAAAATTGAATGCAATTGTTATTGTCCGGAGCGTAGCAAAAGACATTAAATGATCAGTAAAGTGAAATAAGTTATTTTTGATGCACCAAATGGTATGTTTTTTGATGCATCTAATTAATTAATTCATAGCTTCACATCAAAACTGTAAAAAATGTAAAAAATCCATTGCATATTGTGTAACACAACAAATCTCGTATGACTTCGCTCCGGACATCTGTTTTCATACATACCGTGACTGATAGTTTGCAGGAACACAGATCTTGAACGATTCGCTTCCTCAACCTAACGGAAGGAAAAATTAAAAAAAGAAAAGCTAAACATGATAAAATGAAATTAAAATACTTCTTCAGCATGTCTATCAATAAAGGCAAAAGTAGATAAAAGCGTAAACATCAGAATGGGCATGACAAGGTCAAGCACGAGATAAAAAATCCCTCGGACCAGGGAAGTTCCAGCAGATGGCCTGTTTAATCAATAAAAATATTTATATAATGTTGAATTAATGTAGTTGTTTGACAGTATAAAAAAATAAATAAGGTAGTTACCAAAAAATTTCATAAAAATAAATAATACACGTAATTGTCGCGGTCATGATTCCAAATTTTTTACCAGCAAAGACATAACTGCGTCAGAACATGCATTTATATTGTTATTGTTATATACGTCTTTATAAAAAAAAAAATTTTGTATATATTCGAAATACCTGAAAGGTGGAATCCAAAATAGAAAAGAGAGTCGACCATTTGAAACAGTAAGTGGTAATGTTCCTGTACAAAAGATTGTCAGTAGTAAGGTCAAGCAAATTTAAAATTACGGTCAAACGTTGCTACATCCATAGCAGTCACATGATGATTAAATCACCTGACCATCATTGCGACCAATAGGAATTGGAGAAAAGAAGAAGCAGCAAGTCTAATATATTCGTCGTGACAATTGACCGTAATCCAAATTTAATTTTTTTTATTAACCTTTTTCTCGCAAATCGAATAATGTCAATATATGCGTTATTAAAAAGTTGATGCTCAGCAATTTCGCACAAGATTGAGAAGAAACGTGAAAATTATATAATTTATATATATGAACTGAATATCAAATAATAAGTAAATAGCTCAATTGATACATTATGGTCAAATGCTAATACATATATTTACCTATGAAAATAACGGAAGTCGCGGCAGAATAGGTCATATATCTCTCAGACACAATATCGGATGAACGCCAAACAAGGAGATAAATTGTAGACATAATCTGTGGTAACATAGTAACGAATACAACACGTGATCTAATTTTTTCACCGATTTTGTGAATATATTCCTGAGTATGACCAGCAAATGGAGATTGCGAATCGATCTCTCCTTGGGGCATCAAACGATCAAAGTATTGAAGCATTTGGTGCATGTTTACACATATAATAGACGAGATGAAAAATAGGAAATTCTTAAATTCTTTGAAGGAAATAATTATGGTTTTTTTCTTGATTTTTAGTTAGACTATTTATACGTTTCAACAAACATTTAACAAACTTTGATCATAGTAAGGCTATTTTCAAGTTCTGATGTAATGTTTTTATGATTTTCTATCGCATAATGAGGCAAGTTTATGATCCAACTCTTAACTAAAATACAGTCATCCGCATGATTCATCTTATCGACACAGCGATGATTTATAATAGTTTCATTAAATTTTAAGACAAACTAAAAAAAAAAAAATCTCTTTGGTCTCATCAGAAACTTGATTATAATCGATGATTGATTAAAAGTGACGATTAAAAGTGAGATATTTTTATTGATTAAAAGAGAGATTTAAAAGTGAGAAATTTTTATCGATTGATTTAAGTGTGTTATAATCGATATATATATATATATGTTGTAAGTGAACGGGATTTAAGTGGATTTGGGATTTCTTAGAATTTTAGGGTTAGGTATAGGGTTTATACAGTACCGGACAGCCAATATTTATATATAAAATATAAAAATCGTATAACTCAAGCCCTAATAACTTTTAAAAAAATCTGTCTTACAGATTTTTTGCTTTTAGTCTGAATTACAAACCGTAAGAATAGATTTTTATTTATCTTATAAGATTAAAAAGCTTAAAGTTTATATGTAATCAAAAATTTGGCGTTTACTATATAAAAAAAACCTATCTATATATATTTTTAACCAATCAGGTTTAATTATACACAAATTAGCCAATCAGAATTGATTACATAATCTTCAAATTTGGCGCTTATTTTTTTTGCTGTCCGGTACTGCACAAAATAATCACCCTGAAAAGCTAATTTAACTAAATTCCGAATCCACTTAAATCCCGTTCCCACTTACAACATATATAGATTATCCCTTACACCGTCAATTTAACTACGAATCTACTGTGATTTAGACTACATTCCAATTAGTGATGCCGACAATACTCTTGACAAAACCTGATAAAAATATAAACTAGCTACGTAATAGGTTTATACTGTTTA